AAACCTCGCGACTCACCTCTGCTCGTTTTTTTTCAAAAACACAAAAACGCATAAACTGATATTTGGTGAACGAAAAGAATTCCAACCTGCCCGGTACGATTATCAATTCCTTTGAAGACTTCGCCAAATGAACCGCGTCCAATTTTCTCCTGGCGTGTGAACAGCTGCTCGGGATCGAGCTTCTGCAAAACAAAAAAGATACCGTAGTAAATTTTGCTAACAAAGTGAGAAAAACAAAAATAAATAAAATTTTTTTCCCTTTGTGTAAGAAGTGGAATGCATTCATCTTAAAGAAGAAACATTTAGAAAAACAAGGAAATCAATGAAAGAAAAATATGCAGCACAAAAAGCTAGTATCAATAAAGCGTAACACACTCACCCGGGCAAATCTGAACATTCCGATGCTCTGCCGGACGACTGTACTGGAAAGTGGAGCTGAACAAGATTATGACTCAACGGCTCCGAGCAGTACACACACGCACGCACACATTGACAGACACGAAGGCATGTACAGGCGAACTCTTAATGCTTGTTACACATAACCCGGAATCAGAGCAAGCACGTACGGATAGATCTAGTTGTGTTGAGCATCGCTGTGGCGAGCGGGCAATCGAAGTGGATTAATGAAAGAGCGCCACTGCAACTGTAAATTTACTGAACAGAAAAGGAGGAGGATCAATGGGGCCAGAATGAGAAACGAGGGGCGTGGAAGAGGGAGGAAGCAAATTCGGGATATTATATTGTGATATTTCGCATAACAGACAACTGATTTTCAAAAATTTTTTCCATATATATTTTTCAAATAGTGAAAAATTTCTCGCACAGATACGCACACATACATATATACATACGTACATACATACATACATACATACATACATACATACATACATACATACATACATACATTCATACATACATACATACATACATACATACGTACATACATACACACGTGAAAAACACACACATGCATACGTATGCGCACATGACAAAGAAACCAGCTACTGTAAATTTTGGCTTTTCAAGCGAGAAATTTGATAAAAAAAAAAAAAAATAAGAAGACAGCAAAAGAATTTATAATCGTTTTGGTGGGGAAAGAATTTTGATAAAGGATGAAAGGCTGGAGAACAGTAAGGCTGTCGAAGTAGCAAGCTCTAAAATGATTGAAAATAGCACCGCTACAGTCTAAAAGATTGTGATTAGCTAGGTGGTTGTAGGCGAAGTACGCTACGCAGAAGTTTCACAACCTAACACGCATTATTTTCTAGTACACGAAACACGATTATCACATGCGTTTATGCAATCACGGACAATCTGCTGTTCAAATGCATCAAATATCATTAATATACCAGCAGTATTATCTACTCGCGATCAGGAAATTTTCTAGGGAAACTTCTTTATCAGTAGTACTATCTACTTGCCGTCAAAAGAAAATCTCTTAATAATATCTGAGAAACGAGGAGATTACAGAATGAAACGCAACAAAGATAACACGCAAAGGGACAAAAAATCCCCGAAGATGATATTTTTTACTTCTCCCTCTGCAAAAATCACTGTGACCAAAAAAAAAAAAAACATACAGAAAGAAACTATCATAAAATGAGTAAGGAAGACAGCAAACCCATAAGGGTACCTTCTACGAAATCTTTGGCACTTTTTCCCCAGTAACCGATGTAATCCCAACCTTTTGACAAAAATTAAGAAGCGATCTGAATTATTACGACATGAAAAAACGAAAAGAAGATGAAGGCAAAAATTTCTATAAGACCGGTCGGTGCCTCAAATCATCCAGATTTGCGAAAACAAGCATGTATGCAGAAGATAAACCAATATGCAAGTGGCAGAATATGAACAAATTCGAACGGGTCTGCCAGCGTGGAAACCGAGAAGTATTACCAGAACGAAGCGACGCTGCATGAAGCAAAGTCAGTTCCAGTAACTTGATAAAGTAACGAAAGTAACATGCGATGAGTAGAAAAGCTGCTTCAGAAATACAAGCTAATATTGAATTTGAATTAATATCGCCCTGGCAAGGTTCGTCTTAAAACGCTTCTTAAAAGCTCGAAGAAACGCGAAAAGGGATGAAATCCGAATCGATTACGTTTCACGTTTTATTCCTTTGCGTGTTTTTTTCTTACCAATAGTTGTTTCAGTGGCATCAGAAAAAGTTAAATGAGCATTAATATGTAGTTTCATGAAAATACTGCACAAGGGAGGATTCCTTTGGAGGGCCAATTGAAACTAACTCAAAAATGTTGCAAGAGAAGCAACATAAAACTTTTTAAATGATAAAATATGTGGTGGTTTTTTATCATGCCATGCACCATCACATCATCATGATCTCCTTTCTAAATGTGACGGACCAATTTCGTAAACACCAGGAACGCTTCAATGGCTAACAAAAAGAAGCGCTCGCACTGCAGCTTTTTCCTCACCGGCATCATAAACATATATATATATATATATATTCATATATATACATATTCATATATATACATATATATATGTATGCATGTTTCTGGCACGCTGAATTGCTGTTATAGGAGGATGTCCTAACGAGAATTTTGTGGAAAAATAAAACTGCAGAAGTAGACAAATTTTGGAAAAAAAACGTGTAAAGTAGTCCAAGTGAAAAATGTATGGAGGAGGAAGCGAGGCGCTCCTTTTGTA